CCCTCCACGCGACTCCCAGGACTGAGAGCATGCTGGATCTGACCAGGTCTGCAGCCTCGCTCACTGCCCCCTCAGTGCCCCCACGGCACCCCCGCCGGAACCCTGCAACTGCGAAAACATACTCGGAGCCTGGTTTGCTTCCTTCTTCGGCTTCTTCTCCTGCTCCCGCTTGGCTGCTTTGAGGGCGTCGTACTCCTTTCTCCGGCGCTCCTTCTCTTCCGCCTTCTCCCGCTTCCGCAGCTCCCGCTCCTGTGCCTCCTTAGCTCGCTGCTTGGCCTCCCGCTTCTTCTCGGCCTCTGCAGGAAAATCCACCCCAAGATGACTTCTCACCCACAAACCTGCAAGAGTGCTTTCCTGAGTAACTAAAAGCACGGGCTTGGCCTTTCCCTTATGCCACAGGTCACTGAAGCAGTCTTAAGGAGGCAGCTATCTTCCTGCTCTCCAGGAAGTAAGCCCTCCCTCAAATACGGTAAACTGCTCTCAGGGTTTGCTGGATGGATTATTGAAAGGTTCCCAGCCCCGTGCAGTGGAGAGATTAGGGTAATGTAACAAGGGTACATGAGGCAGGCATGGGTGACGAGCCTAGTGATCAGAAAGCACAGAGGGACACCCTTATTATACAACTTGGCTGTCAAGAGAAGAAACCGTGATTCTATGGGATTCCTGTCTTCCCAAGCTTCAGAAGGGAACGTAGCATGGGAAGGGCAAGTAAGAAGACAAAGTGAGCACTCAAGTTCACAGTTAGACACGATGGAAATGTTTTCCTGAGAAAGCAAGACTAATCATTTGTCAGAGGGAACCTCTAGGCTCCCACTCAGGAATCTGTGACACATTCTGATTTACTTCACGGTTCAAGTACGCTTACATCCAATGCCCAGCTTACAAATTACTGGGTTCTAAAAATGCACTTCCAGATTAGTTATTTGGAAGCCTGAAGTACATTTTTCCAAAGCCAGAATGCCACAAATTAGGGAGTTAAATGTCTTTCTGGGCTTAAAAGCCCATCTGACCCATAATGTAGCTGAATTGTAGTATGCGAAGTACTGGAGCTTTCCACTGCTTTTCTGTGTACAAACAAGCTCCACGTTCCAGCTGGGCAACGACAATGCCAAGAGCACATTCTACCCCACCCGGAGAGAACATGTGGAGGCAGGAAGTCAAGCAGCAGTGGTCCAAGGAAATACAGCATCACAGCAGCCACGCATGTGAGAAGGCCCGGTGTCACTCAGGCTCTTTCAGGGTCTGCCCATGACCAGTACTAAGCACGTCCTCCCCCCCTCCCAACCACGGAATCCTCCAGTAAGGGGGCTCAGACATCTGCCAGTCAACAGAGCGCCCGCTGTGCACCAAGCCTTGTTCTGAGTGCTTGAGATACAGCAGTGAAGACAAATCGGGTTCCAGCACCTAAGACCTTCTAGAGACGGAGACAAACGAGTGAACAAACAGAAAAAGGACAACAACATGCGCCACAAAGAGAGTAACAGAGACTGTGATGGAGTGACGGGAGGGATGCTACCCACGTCTGGGTGGTTCGGAAGGGGTTACGGTAAAGCTACGGCAACATCTGAGCAGACAGGAAGGACATGAACCCAGCCGCGTAAAGAC